GAATCGAAGGCTCTGAAACGTCGGCCGTCTCGGTACGGCAGCCCGTCGGGCCGCCCAGACGGTGCCGCTGGTGTCCCGGAATACCCCGCTGGACCAGAACCAGCCTGCCGGGTCGGGACGCGATACACCGTCGACCGGTCGCTCTATTCACTCCACGGCAGCGCGCTAGAGTGCTGGTAGCGCGCCGCGCGGCCTCACCCCCTCAGGTCGCCCCTTGACCTTCACCGGGGGGAGGCCGCTACCTACAGGGGCCGGGACGTACGGGCGTATTCCCGCCTCCGGTCCCCGGCTCGACGGCGACGGATCGGTGCGGAAAGGGAAGAGCTCTCCCTCTCTCGCTCCGCCGCCTCCTTCTGCGAGATGGTGGACTAGCAGAAGTCGAGCATCGCCTTCCAGGACGCGTCGCTGCCGAGCATCGTAGCCACGACGCGTGGCAGCGAGAGGTCCTCTCCTATGACCGCGAGGGCGGCGCGTTGCTCGTCGAATCCAGAGCAACGCGCCAGTGTGTGTTCCACCACCCTGCCTATTTGTGCCGTGAAGCAATAATGCGTTTCGGTTTGAAGGGCGGGGCAGCTGTTATAACTATATTTGAGACTTTAGAACTTATAACTCAAAGTAGGTGGCGCATTTACGTTTTGGATATCTATGGGCTTCAGTGACCACTTAACACCAGGTGGGCTGTGAGCTCGTCCACCCATCTAAGCAATAAAAAAAAAATACTACCTTTGTCAAACGCCAAAGTATAATTTCAAGACTAATTTCTAATATTAATAGGATTAAAAATCAAGATCGAAATCGATTTAATAATAAGAATGTTGCTGCAATATTGCATGGAAAAGAGGGATTACGACAGTTGAAAGGAGGATGTCACACATTTGATCCTGACAGAAGTATTATCAAGAAGTATCGTTCTGAAAAAAGCGCGGGAAACTTCGTTTATGGTAGACGTATTTTTCACGGTGGTGAAAATTTAATTTAATTTTATAGTTAAAACGCGGAGGATAAGCTGGTAGTGTAAGTTTTAGTAATATATGTAATCTTTGTATCATATTTGTGTATAGTGTCATCGTATAGTTGGTAAGTTTTTATAATTTTTGTAAATATTGTATGAACGAGCCCCCCGATCTCGATCGGGGGGATGATGGCTATGTTGGCCTGAATCTCCCCGTGGGATCATATGTAACTGTTGTTTCACAAGATGAATTTGATAAAATGGATACGGATTGTTCCTTATCATCTCAGACAGGTGAAGGAAGTCGTAAACGAACACGTTATCTACGCCTTTGTCGGCAGTGTACGAAAAGGAGAAATAAGAAAGGTGGTTCTAGCGGTGATTACTGTCAGTGCGAAAGTTTATGCAATATGGAAGATGAGTCAATTTTAATAAAAAAGATTACTTCTAAAAGTTCTAAACCTATATCTCAATCGACGTCATCTTCACACTCGCAAAATAATAATAATTCACATAAAACGTCCTCTCAACCATCAACATCTTATACGGAAAATTCAAATATCTCTCAAGACTCTAACGCGGGAAATTCAAATATCTCTCAAGACTCTAACGCGGGAAATTCAAATAACACGAAAACTACAGTAACCAATACAGACTCCCGTTGGATCGGCCGGACTGAATATGTTCTTACTGATGTTTCCCCTTATTTGATACACGTTCAACGTATACAAAGTTCACCTGATGACGGGACCGTTCTCCATCCTATAACTTTTGGCAATTTTTTAAAACAGAACAAATTTGAAAATATTATTCCCGGTAGTGTAAAACGTATAGGAAGAAATAGGTGCGTAGTTGGCTTTTCCGATTACAAAGACGCCAATAACTTTCTTAACTGCAATCTTTTGGAAACGAAAAAGTTAAAAGCCTTCATTCCGACTTTCAACGTAACAAGGATGGGGCTAGTTCGTGGGGTCCCTGTAGATTGGAGTGTAGAGGAAGTTCAACGAAATGTATCCGTTCCTTTAGGCTGCGGCAAAATACTTAAAATAAGACGTTTGAATCGCAAGGTGAAAATTAATGACTCGGTTTCTTGGAAACCCTCTGAATCCGTTGTAATAACGTTTGATGGGCAAGTTTTACCAAAACGGATTTTTATGTGCTATAATGCTCTTCCAGTAGAGATATATATTTTTCCTACAATACAATGCTATAAATGCTGTCGTTATGGTCATACCAAAGTACAATGNAAAAAAAAAAAAAAAAAAAAAAAAAAAAAAAAAAAAAAAAAAAAAAAAAAAAAAAAAAAAAAAAAAAAAAAAAAAAAAAAAAAAAAAAAAAAAAAAGTATTATCAAGATAATGGATTCAAAACAACTTTATGAAAATGTTATCCAACATAAAGTCGAAGAATTTTAAGTTTAAGTTTCATTTTATTATTTTAATTTTTTTATAATTTTTTATTTAGATTTCGTTTAAAAAAAAGAACATTGGGCTCTTGAATTAATAGTGGTTTCTTTGTTATTTTTATTATTTTATTGTTTAATCAAGGAAACATTCATGTTCTTATGCCGGCCCTTCACCTGCGCGCAAATATTCGTACATTGGACGAATTAAAAAGGAGGAGAAATTCGTGAGACATTCGTAAACAAGTGTAGAAGGAAGCGCAAACGGGTTCGCAAATTGAGTACCGAACCCATTTGCACAGCCGCTAAGTTTGCGAATGAATGTTTGACGGCCCTACAATGTACGAATATTTGCGCGCATGTGAGTGGCCGGCATTAACCTATAATGGGACTTTTTGGCGGGAACGCGAGGAGTGAAGTTGTGTGATTTGTTTTATTTTGTCTATTTAGTGTTTCTTCAGGTTTAAATATGTAATAACGGTGGTTTATTAACTGTTTAATATCTGTGAAAGTGCACAAATGTGGGAAAATGAAACAAAGCCGCTGGACGTAACTTCTCGGAATCCTCCAAAAAGTCCACTGAAAAAATCTTAGTTAATGACCACCATTTTACTGAGATTATATTTCATCCCATATCATCTCATTTCATTTCATTTAATTTCATTCCAGTTGATTAATATCTCAAATTAATCATCTTTCACTCCATCATTTCATTTCACTCCATAATATAATTTTTATAAAAATATGAATATAAATTAAAATAAGACATGACTTAAAGGTCTTAGTTACCAGGTCAGAAAATCCCTTATAAAAAAATTATACACTGACTTAATATATTTAATGCAAATATACATATTTATTTACACAAATATTTACGTACGGTACTATTTACTTAGGTACCTACTAATATTAATTACCTAGTTAAAATCATGAGTAATTTAGATTTTGATGATAACGACATAAGTTATGAAAGTGCCCAAAAATATTGGTCAGATATTCCTGCAACTGTTGATGGAGTTCTCGGTGGCTTTGGATTTATATCTGACATAGACATAGAAGGATCAAGAATTTTCCTTGAAAGTCTTTTATCGTGTAATAAAGCTCCATGCACTGATTTAGCACTTGACTGTGGTGCTGGTATAGGAAGGATAACAAAGAACTTACTATTGCCATACTTTCAATTAGTGGACGTTGTGGAGCCCGATAGTAAATTCATTAAAACAATAAAAAATTATGTTGGTGAACACCAATCAAAGATTGACACACTATACGAAGTTGGTTTACAAGATTTCAATCCTGTCAAAAGATATGATGTTATTTGGAACCAGTGGGTTCTAGGATATCTACTGGATCAGGATTTAATAGCTTACTTAAAACGCTGCAGGTATATTTTATCTTGAGGCTTATTTAAATAAAGTTAATAATTTGCTTTTGTTATAAACTTTATTAACTGCATAAAACTATTCATTTCAGAAATGCTTTAAAGACCAATGGAGTCATTGTAGTAAAAGAAAACGTAACTTCATCAGGTAAAAGTGAAAAGGATGAAACAGATTCCTCAGTTACACGATCACTACAACAGTTTCTTAGTATTTTTAAACAATCAAAGCTGAAGAGATTAAAACAGTGTAAGCAAACTAATTTCCCTAATGGAATTTACCCTGTTTATATGTTTGCATTAGTTCCTATACAGGAAGATTATAATTCTGAGGATTTAAAGGTATAATAATAGCGTAATTGTGGTTTAGTGAATATTTAAAAAATGGACAGAAAAAAAGAAATAATTATTATCTGTAAAAATGAAAAATAAACATGTATTATAATGTAAACTTTAGCCTCTTACTGTACATTGTTTACAATGATAAATCATGAAATTGTTTTTATTTTTTAAATTATTTGTGTATCACAATATAAGAAAAGCAAGTTGCATTTTTTAAGACATGTCATAGATGTAGTTGTCTAATTTCCGTCTATATAATTATATATACAGACGTATTCCTCTTGGGATGTGATAATACATCTAATTTCCAACAAAATTAACCCTAATATCCCTAGTACCAAAGTGTCTCGTTATTGATATATTCAATGTTTTTTGTTTTTTTTAAAAAAATCCTGAATTAACTGCAAAAAAAATCATTAAATAAAATGCCAGTGTTTTGAATTAAGTTGTTTGAATTTTTATCAGTTACCAATACATCAAATAACATTTATTAATACTAATACTGGCACGAATGTCAAACATTTTAAAATAGCAAGTGATTTCTTATAAAATTTTGTTTTGATTTTCTAATTTGGTCGATAGAAAACTGGATTTATTTTGAAAAATCAACTAAACATTAAGCGTATAAACTACTAGAAAAACTTCCTTGTTTTATTAGCTACCTAAACAAGTTAAATTACTAAGACACAAAACAATTCCCAGAAAAAGGCTGTGTAAGCATGTGTTTTGTTTCTGGCTATTACCAACGCGATCTCCGAAATTTATGTTGATTTTGATCACTAACTATGGCAGCTTACTCTAATTCCGAGTATGCCGATATTTTTTATTGTTATGCTTTCTGTGACGGCAACGTTCGTCGCTACCCTCAACGACGAGCGCCTCACGTTACGGTCTTCAGTGCAATTTATCATCGTGCTTCTGAAACTGGCCAATTTCTAAGTCGACAAAGTGATGGCGGTAGACCACGCCGTTACACCGCTGAAGATGAAGAAGAAGTTATCCAGCAGATAGTTGACGATCCTACTACTTCGACTTGTATCATAGCGGCTCGATTGAGAATCCTATATAAGATATGGACGATAGTTCACGGCACTGGACTCTCCCTATACCATTATACGCCTGTGCAGGTGTTGGAAGAAGGGGATCCAGTACGGCGTTTGGAATATTGTAGGTCTATACTGAATACCGACGCTGAAGATCCAAGCTTTCTTAGGCGAATATTATGGACGGATGAGAGCAAATTTGACCAGGATGGTATTACCAACTATCATAACATCCATTACTGGTCAGATAAAAGATTACGAAATCCAAGAAAAGTTAAACCAACAGGTTCACAAAGACGCTTTTCATTGAATGTTTGGATGGGCGTCATAAATAACCATTTGATTGGACCCTACTTTTTGCCTAACAATTTAAATGGTGAGAATTATGAGGGTTTTTTGAGGAATGAACTAGGGCCATTGCTTGCAGATGTGGAATTACAAACAAGGGGACGAATGATATTCCAGCACGATGGTTGTCCAGCGCACTATCGAATTATTGTGCGCCAGTGGCTGGATACCTCATTCCTAAGGCGTTGGATTGGCTTGGGGTTCCAATTCCATGGCCTGCACGGTGTACCGACCTGACACCGGTTGATTTTTATGTGCGGGGGCACATGAAATCCCTTGTTTATGCAATGCCAACTTAAATAATCGAAGCGGCTGAAGAAATACTACGGTCTTTCACTTCAAGAGTGAGGAAGCGTGTGCGGGCATGTATTTACCGTAGGGGAGGTCACTTTGAACAGGATTTGTAAAATATGTCGCAAAATTTATTAATAAAAGATATTTTTAAATTTCCATTTTTTCTTTACACTTTACCTATCATCATGTTATTAATTTTTTCTGAGAATCTTTCCTTTTTTTGTGAATAATTTAATGTTTTTAAGTAGCTAATAAAATAAGGAAGTTTTTCTAGTAGTCTGTACGCTTAATGTTTGGTTGATTTTTCAAAAAAAAACCAGTTTTCTATAGACCAAATTAGGGTATCAAAATAATTTTTTATAAGAATTCACTTGCTATTTTAAAATGTTTGACATTCGTGCCAGTATTAGTACTAATAAAATAAATGTTAGTTGATTTATTGGTAACTGATAAAAATTCAAAACACTACATAGCTTTTTATGTATTGGTTTTTTTGCAGTTAATTCGGGTTTTTTTTATTGCTTAGATGGACGAGCTCACAGCCCACCTGGTGTTAAGTGATTACTGGAGCCCATAGACATCTACAACCTTGAGATATTAGTTCTAAGATCTCAGTATAGTTACAGCGGCTGCCCTACCCTTCTGACCGAAACGCATTACTGCTTCACGGCAGAAACAGGCAGGGCGGTTGTACCTACCCGCGCAGACTCACAAGAGGTCCTACCACCAGTAATTACGCAAATTATAATTTTTGCGGGTTTGATTTTTATTACACAATGTTATTCCTTCACTGTGGTAGTCAATCGTGGTGAACATTTGTTGAGTACGTATTTCATTAGAAAAATTGGTACCCGCCTGGGATTCGAACACCGGTGCATCGCTTAACACAAATACACCGGACGTCTTATCCTTTAGTCCACGACGGCTTCAAACTTCCTTTCATCCTTACTTTCCTCTTAAACTAGATAAAGGACTGTTAGCATGCTGTCATCTACCTATTTTGTTGTACCGTTAGTGTGTAGGAAAACTTGGATTCAAAAAAGTATAGAAAGAGGTGAAAATTGTATGATAAAAGAATTGAGATCATATAATAGTATGGAGTGCTATTAAAATATATTCAAAAAATACTGATTTATGTTCAGTCTTTTAAAATAGTCATTGAAAAATATGCTTCTTAGTGATAAAACCAGCATCTTTATTTTTGGGTCGGGGCCTAACCGCCGAGGTCCCCGCGCCTAGGGGGCGCGCGGGGTATGTGGGACTTGACGATCTGCAAGGTGTTGGGAACAGACCGCGGGCCCAAGAAATTTTAGGGCCCACCCACTAAACGACTCCCCTGCACTCTTCGCCCAAACGTCTGATCCCCTTCGGGGTCAGAACCCAGATTAGGTAGGGGGGTTACCGCGTTCAACACTGCAACCAGACAGCGTAGCTCACCCCAAGGACGACCAGCCGACGGAGCCTTCGAGGCGAATCGAAGTGGGTGGGTGGTGGTACCTATCCGTGCGGACTCACAAGACGTCCTACCACCAGTAATTATGCAGATTATAATTTTGCGGGTTTAATCTTTAGTACACGATGTTATACCTTCACTCTGGAAGTCAATCGTGAACATTTGTTAAGTACGTATTTCATTAGAAAAATTGCTATCCGTCTGCGGGATTCGAACACCGTTGCATCGCTCGATACGAATGTATCGGACGTCTTGTCCTTTAGGCCACGACGACTTTGACTTCACTTGTAACTGGTGCATACTGTCTTCTCCGAGCCTATAGATACCACAATGTAAATGTCACCCACCAACCCCTTGAAGCATAGGTCAACGTCTAAATTCTATTGAAGAAACAACACCAATGCTTTACAACAAAATAAACAATAAAATCTTTCATTTTCTTTCAATTATTTATTATAAACAGAAATATATCAAATAAAAGAGGGTCAAATTTTTGTTCACAAGCAAGTTTTTTTTAACATATCAAAGTCAAAATGGCCAAATAAATGGAAATTGTTGTAACAAAACAGAACGACAATATAAATAACAAATCAAGAATCGAACGACAATATAAATAATCAAGTATTTGAACGAAATACAATAATAATATAACTGAAATGGAAAGACAATGAAATATGCCTAATAAGAGTTAAAAGTAAACAAATACCATGAAATTACCGTTTTAACACAGTGGCCACTGAATTAAAATACTGGTATGATCCAGGCTTTATAACTATTTTTTTTCCTCAAAGGCATATCGAAACAAAGTATGTACAACACTGCTTCCAGACTCCAGAAACTAGCACTTTGATAGGTTTGGTAAGCCACTGAAGAACTATCCTGGTGGATTGCGCTTTTTGATGGCTCGCTCGAAATGCAGAGCCCGGCCCACAGTATGTAACAATAAAAAGAAGGCAGCTCTCTATATCCATTTCTTCTCTTCCAACTTGATTTCAGACGTTCTGTTCCTTAAGGAACTTAGCCTAAGCTATATGCTCTTGCGCTAACAATATCGCCTATCTTAGCACCAATAGTTTTCCGTCTTCTTGGAAGACCGGTAATGTTCACTCTATTCCTAAGAAGGTTGGTGAGACCTGTCGAAATACAGGTCTATCGCTATAACTTGTCCTCTTAGGTGGCGCAGGTAGTGATCAATACTTGGTGTATATGAAAACAACCAGCAGATCAACGACCGACATACGGATTCCATCGCGAGCGTTCAGCTAGCGTATTTTTTGCTTACAGGTCTGAGCTGAGTCTTTGGAGAGCAAGGCCAATGTAACCACTTTAAGCACATATATCGCAAAGGCCATGGGCAAGGCAAGAGCCTTCTATCGATGTTATCATCATACGAAATTCCCGTGACTCTGAAAGTGGATAGCTAACTTTTTGGATGGACGGAGCATCAAAGTATTTAGTGATGGTTGCTGCTCCAATATCATTAACCATTAACGCTAGCGTCGCATAAATCTCGATGATCACCGTGATTTCCTACAGACATTCAATTAATTCGATCAGACAGATATTATGCATCATACCTACGAATCGGTGCAGTATCAATGTTTAAATTGTTAACTTGGATGTAATTTCGTATGTATTCACGATCAGATTCAGTTAATAATACCCAACTCTCTAATTCAACTAATATTTCTAAACTAATGCAGCTTTGAATGATTCTTTGCACTGATAACATTGTTAAAAATTCTGATAACATTATACGTAATTCCTTTAAATAAATAAGTGGATTTTTATCCAAAACCTTAAAGATAAATTCATCAGTTAGCTGAAATGCAGTCCCTATGTGAATAAATTCTGCATTCAAACAATTATTTAAGATAAAAAGTAATTGCTCATCAGAGCATTTAGATACACAAGTCACCCTTTTTAAGTTACGGAAAGGCAAAATTTCTAAGTTTTTTGTGTATAACGATGTATGCTGTATCATTGAACAGTTGTAAAGAGTGAGACTCTCTAGAAGTGGGCACATTTGACTGATGTACATAAGTGCATTTAAATCGATCTGATCAACGTGCTCTAGATGTAAATTAACAATATTGCATCCTTTTACTTGTAAAACTTGCTTTATCTGATCCGCATAAAAATCACACGAAAGCAGTTTTAATTCGATTAAATTCTTAAAACCAATAAGAACCATTAGGTCACTTTGTAACGTATTATGAAAAACGGTTAAATTTGTAACGTACGGGCACATTTGAACAGCTAATTGTAAGTGATCGGAAGTAGCATATCT